GTTCAGCACCACGGACAGCAGCCGCTGCATGTTTAATAAAGTCTGAATGCCAGTCGTTTACAGACGATCAGGTTCATTTTTAAAAGACAAACAATAAAAATAAGCATTTTCAATTTAATAACAGAAAGAAGTTTTCTTTCACCATCTTTCTTAGCCCTAAATGATTTCTGTATATTTGCATATAAATACATTTAAGATGCAGAAGGTTTTTACAGAAAATTAAAGCATAAATAAAGCTGTCAATACCATGGTAGAGTTATTTTAGTATAATTTAGATACTATTATATATTTCTGAATACGTTTTTATTTTAGGGTTTCATTTTAATTGTAGTTAATGCTTTAGTAATTTTGTTGTGTGTGTGTGTGTGTTTTTTTTTTGTCATTTTTAGTAGTTTTTTATTTTTTAAATTTTGTCTATGTAGTTTTTATTAATTTCAGTTTTATGAATTTGTATTTCAGTTTTAGTTATTTTAGTACATCAAGCTAAGCTAAATTAAAATGAGAAATGTTGCCTTGGCAACTAGCTGAAATAAAAAGTGTATTAGCCTGTATTTTATTACAGTTTCAAGTAACAAAAATGCTTTTCTGTGGTAATTTTAGTTTCAGTTTTAGTTAACTATGATAATAACCCTATGGTCTCAGATTATAATAGTGAATGACTAACATGGTTTATAGCCTACTGTAGGCCTAATTGTTGTGCATAGAAAAATAGCATCATATCATGGTACTTTGCTGGACTACAAAAGGTTATAAGCAAACAAATGCTTTTTTTTATTGATTTAAAATTGAAATAATGTAGCTAAGAAGCTCAGCCAAGCATAAATTCAATTTCATCAATGTACTCTATACTGTACACTTTAAAATAAAAGCTATATTTGGGGGGAAAAACATGAAGTTCTGTTGTTTTTTATTCTGATGTGTAAGTGATAAACAATATGTATGTGTATTTTTTAATTGTAGGTATTAGGGGTGAATTCAGGTAAATTGGGACACGTTTTTGCCATTGAGATGACTTGGAAAAAATGTCCCAAAGGACCAGAATTAATGCATATTTCAGGTAGAATGATTAAATTGTTGCTATTTTAGTGGTTATTTACACACCCGCCAATTAAATGGTCAAAGCTGCTAAATGCATCTTCAAAAAACATGTTGCTTTTATAAAAATTCGCTCAGTGTTTTCAGATCCAAACCTTTAAACGCCGTACAAAGGGTTGGCTCGTGGCTCCGCCCCCCGCGAGCACCTTCACTCACACCGCCCTGTGATTGGCCGGCCGCGACTTGTTATGCAAATGAGCCGCGGGTCTCTTCAAAAGGTGCGAGCTGACGTCACGAGTCAGAGTGGCAGCTGACACACGGGGAGAGAGACAGATGGAGAAAGTGAAAGAATCCTGAGGAGAAAACACGGGGAAACCGAGAGAGAAGCGTACAGCCGTGATAGAGGGTGAGGAAGAGAAAGAGAAAGAGAGAGAGAGAGGAGGAGTGGATGGTAGAGAGCCGGAGACACAGCGCGCGGGAGGGAGAAAGATGGCCTCGGTCACGGCGGAGAATGGCTTCAGCACCGCGGACAGCTCCGGTAGAATGAACGGACTCAACAGCGCGATTCCCATGAAAGATCACGACGCCATCAAGCTCTTCATCGGTCAGATCCCGCGCAACCTGGACGAGAAAGACCTCAAGCCTCTGTTCGAGGAGTTCGGAAAGATTTACGAACTCACGGTGCTCAAGGACCGGTTCACCGGGATGCATAAAGGTCTGACTTGGCTTTCTTTTGCTTGCTCTTCCTATAAACGAGCCCGTGTGTGTGTGATCAGCACGTGCAAATCCGCCCTCTTTTCAACATCAATGTGAAGAACCTTTAAAGTGGCATCGTGCATGTTCATAAAACTGCTGGTGAACTTGCACTATTAAAAATACTGTACATTTCTAGTTCGAAACCAAAACGCTTTTGCAACCTGACGAACCTTTAATAAATATCAAGAACTCCAAGAAAGCCACAGATGGTAACCTAAGATGGTTTTATTTAAGTCACTAAACCAACCTGTGTAGATCAATTTATACCAAAAAAAACCTATTTTAATGGGTTAAATCATGTAGAAATAGCTCTTTAAGGTAACAGTTGCAGGTTAGCATTTTTTGCAATGAACGAATTGTTGAACGAAGCTTTATTTTAAGTGTGAAGCGTGTGTGTTTGTGGATGAGAGCAGCATCAGTGCAAATGAATAGCGTTCAGCCATTTTCACGAAGCACGTCTGATGTTCTGATGAGTCTGGAGCTTTTGCATGGGGAAATTTCTTCTTTATCATCTCTTCTGCTCGTTCCTATGCTTGGATGTGAGTTTCTCTATCACAGGCGTATATACAGCACATTGCTTTTTTGCTTTGCACTGGTTGTCTCACATCAAATCAGCTGCGTTTTACTCTGGAAAGTCGAACGATAATCTCGTGAAGTTCATTTTAATATGTATTTGTGGTTGCTTTTTTAGTTTAAACGTCCTTGCATTGAATTTTTCCTCTGTACTAATTGAAACAGAATGAAACTCCTGATGTGAGAGTGAAACAGAGACGAGTCATGTCGTGCACAAAACTGGAAATAAAGAAATAAAAAATATGGTTGCAATGGGCAGAAATTTGACTAAATTACATGTTGAAGCATGTAAGTGCATTATTCTTTGATTTTATTTTGAATGCATTCAGCTATGCATTCTGTAGTTAATCAAGAACATAAAGCCTGTCTGTATTTATTAAATAATGCATCTTCATTGTGCACACATTCTCTTCGATTCACATAATTTTTCACTGTGTAACGTGACTTTGTTCTGTGTGCACACTCATATTTTCCTCTTCTTACGTTACTAGAAGTCAAGAAAGCATCAACATTATACAGACATTATATAATCTACAAGTGTAAAGGGCAGAATATTTCCATTAGGTTCTTATTTAGTCCTTCATAAAGTCTCCATCTCCAGCTGCTCTCTCTCTCTCTCTCTCTCGCTGTAATTACTGTTGTGCAGGTTTTGTGCTGATGGTTCCCAGCGGATCGGACGTGTAGCATTATAAAGCTGTTAGTTTACATTAATAGGCCGGAGGAGAGTCAGGGAGGGATGGTGACACACATATGGCCATCAGGGCAGCACAGCCTCACTTACAATAACACAAGGAGCAGTTTAGTTCCAGTTAAAAAACAAACCCACATCAGCAGCAGTTAATCATTTAATGCTCATATGCAAGGAGGAACACCTTTCTTTTTTCTCTTAACACATGCATCATCGGTAACGCATTTTGGCTCTATAAATGGCAAACCGCAGGCAGCTCGTTCTGATCAGTGCTCGTGGGTGTTGTTGATTTGGTTTGACCAGCCGCTGGCATCCGTGCCCTTCACAGCTCTCTCAGCGTCGGTCCGTGTGCCGGTTGAGCTGTTTTGCAGTGGCCTGTGGGGCAAATATTCAGGTCTGAGATGCTGCGATGTTTCCTTTCATCATTCACTTCTCTGCAGCAGCAGTGACCTCAAAAGGCTTCACTTAACCCTGTAAAGCCTGAACATATGAAACAATAGTCTGAAAAATGGAACAGTTTATCGAACTTTCATTGACAATCTGATGCTTGTGATGTAAATCAATGAGATCTTTATAACAGTAGAGCAGATACTGATGTAATATCAGTCGTCGCTCTATATCTCCAATAACATGTCTCAGTAAGATGAGATTTAAATGATCCAAACATGCAATGCAATGCTGATTGAGAGATGAAGAAATAAAGGCTCCTCAGAAGATGTGAGATGTTCTGGAGGCTTGTGAAGATCATTCCTCCGCTGAGGAACAGTGAAAGTAAAGCTTCTGGAAACAAACGCTCCTCAAAAGATCCTGAGGATCAGATTTGAGACTCTAAAACATGATTGATGGAGAATCAAGTAAAGCTGAGCTGCTTCAGTCCAGTAAGTGTTCATCTGGAGATATTACTGCAGTTATTCTGACCTTTACTTGATAAAAATCAGTTAAGATCTGACCGCAGAAAGACACGTGAAGCTCCAGCTGAAGCTGGACGTTTGTATAATTACACTAAAAGAGCTTTAACTGGATAAAAAAACTCTAAACTATCAATCAGATGACAGAAAACGTGGAGCAGATTGTGTGCGAAAAAGGTTTAACAGCAAAGTTTTGATCATGTTGATCATTTAGAGGCTGTATGAGATATGATACAGTAGGTTTTATTGGGTTAAGTCATACCTAAAGATGTCTGAATGTCATTGCATGAATCTCAAAGCAAGGGTTAGGGTTAGCAATTCAAACCAAACAAAGCAAATATGAAGCTTGTGCAATCTCTTTGAAATAAATACTACAATTGTTCTGACATAAAGACATTTAAACATTTCGAAGTGCAATTCATATGGATATGTGTGTGTGTGTGTGTGTGTGTGTGTTTGTGTCTGTGTGTAT